GCTTTGCTCTGGGAGATAAGCAGCCCTCCCTGAGGAGCCAGGGGAGTTCGTTGGTATCAAGAGTGTCTTCCAGCACTTTGCAGCCTTTGGACGTGCAGAGGGTGAGGTGGTCACGTAGACAGCAGCCACTGGGGCTCTGTTTTTGAGGTCAGTAACTGAACCCCTCACTATCATCTCTTTTCTTCTCCCTGGCAATATTTTTCTCTCCCTGATCAAGCTTCTGCAGTGGCCTCACCAGGCTGTAAACAGACAGTCGAATCCCCCTGGTTTTGGATGGTAGATGAATTCAGGAGAGATAAGCACTTCAGGAAGGTATTTCAGCCCAAGATTTTGAAATGCTCAACAGCTCCTTGTTCTGCTCTCTGTACACGCCTGCAAAGCTGCTCAGCTCTTCCTGCAGGTTGTGAGTCACAGTTTTGTAAGAATCCCCCTCCAGTTTTGAGGGGAACCAGGAGTGAAGCTAATCCCTGCCCCTCCAGAGCTCCCTGCACCATCCCAGGGCAGCAAACTCAGCCTCTGGTGGTTACGTGTCACCTGGTGCTCAGACATGAGTGAAGCAGAACATCTGGGCCACCTTTGGTTGGAGGAATTCACCAGATCCAAGTTCCAGCATCAAGTGTTTAAACAAGTGTAGGAATCAGGCCCAGAGAGGCTGTTCCCTTTCCAAAGCATTTGAAAACAAGGAGGTCAAACCTTTTGGCAAAGCAGAAGCTGTTTTTACACAATGTTGCTCTCACAGCTTCAATATACATTATATGGAAAAAAAACCATTTCCTTTTTCCTTTCCAACTTGCTGCCCAGTCATTTTCTTGGGCCCTTCCTACCTCTGTTGTGAAGGAGGATGAGTGTCCTCCCTGGGCAGCTCCTGCTGTTTTCTCCCTCCATGTTCACACCCAAGGGAAACCACCACATTTCCATATATAGGTTTTTTTCCAACCAAACAAGGGGGCAGGAGAGAAATAGGAATCTTGTGAAAAAATACTCCAGCTGCAAGACAGAAATGGAGAAGTGGTACAAAAGCTCATCTGCTTCTTCAGAGGCTGGGGAGAAGGGCAGAGCTGACAGCTCCTGGATGGAAATCCTCTGCCATCTGCTGGCACCCAGGGACAAAGCCATGTCTGGAGTGAGAAGCAACTACAACAGGAGACAACAGGCACCTCTGAAGGATGCAAGGCATTTTCTGGGAGAAGTGCTATAGATTTTGGTTTAGTAAAAGCTACTGCAACCCTCTGCATGTTCTCTGTACCTGAGCAGGGGGAGAACACAGGCTTTTCCTGGAGGAGTGTGTCCATCCAGAGGCAGGACTGCACAGCCAAGAGGAGCAGTGTGATCCAAAAGGTGCAGCAGAAACTGAAGCCACTTTTTTTGTCACCTGTCTTCTTACTCGAGGAAGCCTCACCTGCACTTCAACGGCAACAAGGAAGTTGGATGCAGTGAGATTATTCAGCCAGGAGCCAAACTGCCTCAGGATGATCCTCCTGCCACACCTCAAGGTTATTTTTAGCTTTGGCCTTTGCTGAACCTCCTTGAAATGTCCTGACCCCCCAGGCACTGTTTTCAGAACAGCATTTCCAGGCTCTGTCTTTTCCCACTTCATGCTGCAGACCCCTCTGGGGGCTCAGAGCCCTTCCATTGTGTCCAAAAAAGAATTGGGCTGAGTCTGGATTTTTCTTTTTCTTTTCCATGCCTGAGAAAGTAACCAGTTCACTTGGTCCCAGATGACTGCTTCCTACAGACCATGCCACATGTCCACTCAGAGGTTCTCTCAAGCACAACAGCCACTACAAAGATGGAAACCAGGGTCTGGATGTCCATGCTTTCCCACTGGCAGCAGCAGGCTGGGGTAAAGGAACAAGACAAGCAGCTTCATTCCCAAGGGATGGAGGGGGCTGGAATGCCAGGCTGGTCCAAGCCCTCCCAAGTGGGCAACAGAGGTTCCATATGACAGACAAGTGTTTTTCCACACTCAAGGAACATCTGAGCCAATAAACCAGGATTTCATTTCAATCAGAGAATCTGATCAGCATTATTTGATGTAACAGAACTGGTTTGGACCCAAGGACTCTTTCCAAGTTCTCACCAAAGCTGTTTGTATTTTTCTTCTCTGCATCCTACAGCAGCATTTTGCTTTTCCTTCCCACCATTAATCTCTCCCACCACAAGCCTGGCCTGCACTTCCTGCTTGGCTGCATGGCAGGTAGTTTTCCCACTTACTGTTATTTTTGATTTCCATCCAAGCTTTGTGTGATATTAATAGTTACTTCACAGCACCGGAATCTTCCTCAAATTTGTCCTAATATTAGCAGGAGAAAGAGCCAAGAGCTGAGGCCTGAGGGACTGGAGCTTGCAATGTCCTGCCAGCACTGCCCAGAGCCCAGCTCAACCCCAGGGAGCCAGAACATGGAATGCCAGCTTGGAAGGGACCTTAAGTATCATCTTGGTCCAAACCAACATCTGTGTCACCCAGCTCCCAGCCCCATCCTGGCCACAGCAGCAGCAGAGCAGCAGCTCGTGCCAGCCAAAGCACACAGAAAATGCTTACAGAGGTTGAAGAATTAGGGCTTATTGGTGGTCTAATTAATGCCTCAGCCTAATCAAGAGACAGCAATCACTTCCCATTCATCCCATACTAACAACTAATACCCAAATTACCCATTTCTATTAAAGGCTGTCAGTAATTAAGAGAACAGACAGAAGTATCTGCCCCATTCCCCTGGTGACAAAGCCTCCCTGCTGCCCTGCCTTGCTGCAGTGACTCACCAGGGTCCTGAGGGGGGAAGTGATATTGAAGGGTTATGTTTTCTTCTTTGCTGGGAGGAACATGATGATAAGGTTGATGGTTTCTCCCTCCTCAGTTTAGGCTCTACTTGGGGCTATTTCTTTATGTGTTTTCTATTACTCTCTGTACTTGAATTGTCCTTCACAAAGCTGCAATTCCATGTTACATCCAGATATATTCTTCACCCTGCATTTTACTCCTTTTTTTTTGTGTTACCTCTAAGGCCACTTTCTATCACCTGCCAAGGCTGTGTTCTTCACTGCTCAGGAATGGATCGCTGAGGTGTTCCCAGCCCTGGGACCTCCTGTGCCCAAGGACTGCAACACTGACCCTCTGAGCACATCAGATTCACCACAGGCACAGCCTCTGTCCCTCAGCTACACAAACCTGTGCCAATCCAGTTGATAACAATCAATGAGGTAACAGCCACCTTGGTGCTGGGCAGGTGCTGTGCCAGGTAAACAACCTAAACAAACTACAGCAAAGTTGCAGGCAGGTCAGGGCAGATCCAGTTAAAACCAGCCCAACAAGCCCCAGAGCCAAGGTCTACATCCTGCAGCCCAGTGGTCTCCTCCTTTACCTCAGCCCTGGAGCTTTTATGCAAAGAGTCCTTTTTCAGTAGAGAGGAGGACTCTCAGGATGCTGGGCTCTGATCTACAGCAACTCCAAGAATTGCTTCCCCCCTAAGATCACCTGTTGCTGAGGGTCTTGATGAGGGTGGAGCACAGGATAGTCTTTTTCTCCAAATGTGTGTGCACCTCAGCCCCCTGCCTGACCACACCCTGGGGGTTTGCTTTGCTTTCCTGCACTGGTACCAGCTGTAAATCCCCCAGTTTCTGCTCCAGCAAGAAACAGACTAGGATCCAGTCTGGGAGAGGGCACTTCAGAAAAGGAGCAAGACACAGGATCTGCCTTAGTGCCCCCTCATGCACATCTGGAGAAACCACCAGAGGCCAGAACCACCCACCTGCCCTGGTGAACAACCCAGAACACCCACCAGCCCCAGTGGGGAGGGGAAGCAGCAGCCCCAGCTCCCTCATCACCTGCAGGGGGTCAGAGCCAGGGTGCAAACCTGGCAGGAGAAAACTTCACCCTCCAGACCCTGCAGCCAAAGGGAAAACAGACAACCCAGGCCACCACATTCAGCCCAGGCTATTTCACCTGCTGATACAATTCTGGGGACCAAAACTGTTCTTTTCCTTCCTCTTCTGGACCCATGAGCCACAGCCCAGTGCACGACCCTGCTCCCCAGCAGCAAAGACTGCAGCTTCAGTGGTCCTTGGGGCAGGAGCTACTCAGAGCTCAGCACCTCAGCCTGTTGTAACCAGGCCCTGCTCAGAACTCCAGAGCACAATAAAACACACCAGCCAGGGCACAGAACCACAGGTCACACAGAACATCATGATTTACTGAACTGCACAGATCAGGAGTTTTACCAGAGCTCAATAAAAACAGCCACTTTATAAACTTTTGTACATGCTGCACAAATCTCTTGGGCAAGGTGACACAGCCCAGGTTGGGAAAGCAGGGACTCCCAAAAGCAAAGGTGCTCTTAAACTACCCTCATTCCCCTCACCACTCTAAGCAGCACTAGCCATTCATTTAGACTACCCAGGAATCCTTTGGGTTTGCATCTACAGACAGTCCTCTACAAAATGTTCCCCCTTGTAAACAGCATCAGAAAATGTGTCTGCAGAAAAGGTCAGTCCCTCCTGCAGGTACCTGAGCAGCCTCTGCCCCTCAGCCCAGTCCAACACTGCCATCCTCAGGAGCAGAGCTGCACCACCACAGCACAGGCTCACAATTCCAGACCTCGGAGCTGTTGGAAAAGATGGAATTCTAACCAAGTTCAATCAGGGTGTCATTGCTGTGTGAAGAGCAACCAAGGGACTTCTTAAACAAACAACAAGCTTCTAATCCTTGTATGACTGCTCCACTTCAGACTGGATGCTACTGAAAAGTGAGAGTTTCTTGAGCACTTTTTAATATCACTTTGAACAGGCCCTGCAAGTTATTGTCTTCAACGATACTAAGTACAGTGAAACATTAGATAATAAAAATAAATTGCACAGTAAAATCCCATTAAAAGCCTCAGTTAAGCTGAAAGATAAAAGAATAAAAGATCTTATTATGTAAGCTGCCAAGGGCTGTGGAGAAAACTTGCATTTCCTGGACATGTTGGTGTGCAAGGGTTGGGACAACGAGAGCTCCCAGGTCCACTTCACTTCAGCACAGGAGAGGCAAAGAAGGTGCCCTGATGCCCAAGCTTGCTTTTGCTCCCAAATCTAGTTCAAGAGAAGTAGAAAAACCATCAGGTTTAGATCTGGGGTATAGATGTCCAACATTTCTCCTTTCCCAGGTGTCATTCACCCAAATTTGACCCACCTCCCAGGCAAAGTGTTCCTCTCCCCACCAGAAGATGATGCTCATGAACCATTAGGCAGCTCACACTGTTACTACAGCACTGATTGAGGGAGAGCTGAGTGAGTGGAGAATCCAGGCTGCTCCCAGAGCTGGGTCCAAGTCTATTTTCAGTTATCCTTGAACACCCAAAACTATTGCAGTCATTCCAACAGCTTCATAACAACACCCACTGACACTTACTTGGGGGTGAAGGTCGACCTGACCCTCTGGGACAGGGAGCTGGAGGATGGTGTCTTGGAGAGCTGCCGCTCTGGAGTGGTGAGGGGTCCAAGCATGCTCACTGCCAGGAAGGAAGCAGAGAAATGAGCAGCATGAGGACAGCTGAAGTTTTCATTGCCATGCAAGGAACACTAGACATTCCCTAGCATCTGTCAAAAACACTAGACAAATCTGGTATTTTCCTGGCACGCTTCTCCTCCCTCTTCCTCCACAAAGCAGGCAGGAATGGTTGGCTCCAACAGCCTGGCAAGCAGCTTGGATTGAGGGTCATTATTTTTAGCAGGGCAGCTGCCCAGACAGCAGAGCAGCACCAGGGGCTACCTTTGCCATCTGGTGTCTGGGGAGTGAAGTAGGCATTGCTGTTCTCAATGACATGGGCTGGGTCAATGTTTTCTTGCTCCACCATTATCTGCTGGCTCCAGTAGTCCATGGGCAGCAGCAGCAGTCTCTCCACAACCTACAGAGACACCAGCACTCAGCTTTGACACAGACACCTCCACACATCACCTCAGCTGTCCAGGAATGCATGAGAATTTTGGAAATAGGCCCTTCAATCCCCCCAGGTCAGTCCCCTCTGCTGACCTACCTTGGGCTGCCTCTTAGTGTCCTGCAGGAGAGTCACTGGGTCAGGATCAGACACCGCGTGGGCAACTATTGTGGGGCCAAAGACTTTGGCCAAGTTGGGAATGTCCATCTTAGTGTCTGGGCTCTGAGCCACCCTATGTGAAAATACATTGAGAAAGAGAGAAAGTAGCTTCTCCTCTTGTCCCACACACTTCAGCCTCTGAATAAGGTGTTGTTTTTTTTCCCCCAGAATGAAGACTTTGTGCTCCTGAGCAGTATCAAAAGCCCTTCAGAGAGAGAACCTTCAGAACAACCAGCCCATTTGAACATACCTCTGGAGGTGAACCATGAGGAAAGCCAGGGTGTCCCTGTTGGCCTGAGGGAGCTCTCCAACTGCTTGGTACATAGCAGCAATGCTGTTGTCCTCATCTGAGATTTCTGGGGGAGGAAAAAAACCCCATGTTTAGACCTCAGAAAGCGGTCCCAGAGGCACAGCTGTGATAATCCCCTCACAGGAACAGCTAATCTGAGAAACAAGGAAGCCAGAAACTTCATGAATAATTTTGTACCCTGCCCAAGCACTAGAACTTGGGTTTTAACCCTTCCAAACCAGCCCAGCAGGAGAGAGAACTTCTCAACACTGCACATCAACACAGCTGCACGTGAGGGCTTCAGGGAGCACTGAGCTCTGACAGGTCACAGTTCACCTGTGACCACCAAGCCTAGGGCAAGAGTTGGAGGTGTCACTTAGCAACTCCTCACCTGCAGCTTCCATAAAAGTCTTGTTTAACCGGAACGTGAGCAGAGGTTCCTTCAGGCTGCGCAGGAAGTCCTTCAGAAGGCCACAGATAGCATGGATATCATCCACTTTACTGAGCAAGGGCATGTTTTTTGATCTAAGGAACTTCTCTTTCAGCTCCCTCACTGTCTTGTCACAGCCAGAGATGCGGTACAGGCCAGTCTGGTCAGAGGAAACACTGCTTAGAGGCAGAGCATCAACCACACTCCCACCCTCTCCCCACACCTGAGCACCCTCCAGACACTGTTGCTCTCTCAGTCACCCACAGAGCAGCACTACACACCATAAAGAAGAGATATTTGGGTTGTTTCCCTGCCACCACAACCCATTTCATTAGCACTGTTTCACATCTCATTTTCTCTTTACCTCATGCAGCCCTCGCTGCTCAATCTCATTAACACAGTGCACTATGATGGAAGGGATCATTGGAGGAGTAGAAGGGACAAAGTCCATCAAAGTACCCTGGGAGGCAGAAGGGAAAATGAAAAACAAACAGATACTTGGTCCTTAAAACACAGAAAATAACCTCTCAAGAATTCAGTGAGATCTAGGTTTTAAAAACAAACATGATTTCTCTTTCCCCAGCCCAGAGAAGAGCAGCACATCCATCCTGCAGCCTTGCAGGATTGCTTTCCCAGAGCTGCCACGTTCACAGCTCAACACCCTCCTCACACCACATCCCACCACCACCCTGGTTCCCAACCCATCCACCAGCAAGCTCCTGGTTTGTCTCCCTGTGCAGCTCTAGCCACAGCAGCTCTACTGGAGCAGGCAGGCTCCTTGGGGCCCAAGCAGGTTCTAATTCCAACCAACCTGAGCCCAGCTGTTGGCAGCTGTGCTGTCCCACCCTGCAGACTGACCTCTCCAATCCTGACAGGAGTGCCTGCCAAGGTGGGGATGCAGGGCAGGGGGCAGCGCTCCCGGCACTCCGGATGAGCCACCACGCGGCAGTCCCTGCACTTCAGGGAGATTTTCCCAAATTTCACTCTTTTGCCACATGGAACACACGATTCTGGCTTGATAACCTGGTGATTGGAGCACACGGGTGGGAGGAGATGAGTGCAGTGACACCAAATAACCACACAGGGTAACACACCCTGATCCGTGCTGGTGACCAGTCCCATCAGTACTGACTTGAGGACACGGTGCCTGAGCTTCTTATCAACACTTTAACATCACACAGGTTTAAAAAAAGGCAGGAGATGGTTTTTCAAGTTCCCCCTGCCTTGCAGACCCACCGTCTTGGAAACAAAGTCATGCAGCCTCACTCCTGCATTGCTCTGTGGGGTGCTGGAGCCATCACTCTCCAGTTTGGGCCCCAGCTGCTTGCTGCCAATGCTTGACTCGCTGCTCCAAGGCTGCAAAGGACCTGAAGGACAGAAGAGGAAGAGCATGGACTGAAGGGAAACACCCTCCACAACCTCTGCTTTAAAAGAAGCCAGAGGCCTGGGTCCTGGAGGGAGGTAACTGACATTCCAGGATCAGCTCCAGCCTGCTAAGTGGCATCTTGAGAACCAGGACAAGCAGAGACATGACACCTACCACTCTTCCTCCGGCTTCTCGAGGGCACAGTCTGGATGGTAGAGATGGCTTCAATTGGGCCCCCATCATTGGGGACCATCAGAGTTGTCTTTGCTACTATGGATTCATTTGCCTGTAACATGGAACATGCAGTTAGTGACAGAAGAACTGACAGGACACAGGGTTTTCTAGTTGGTTTGCCCTAGAAACAGTACTGTAACTGCACCCAAAGCCAGCTGGTGCCATCACACCTGGTCTGCTGTGGAGCCAATGGATCGGATTTTCTTCTGGGGACCTGATGGACCTTCAGTGAACTGCCTGGAAGAGCGCTGCAAAGACACAGGACATCTTGGTCTGAGGCAGGTGTGGTGGGGACCTGGTGTTACAGCAGTGCAGTAGCATGAGGACTGAACAATTGTCTGCACACCCCAGAGGCATTAGGCTCTTCCGTGGTACCTGTTCCTTATGGCAAACCTTGAAGCTGCCATGAAGTACCAGGAGGTCTCAATGTACTGCTCGTTCAAATCACTGTCCTAGCCAGCTTGATAATACAATTCAGGGGAAAGAAGGAGAAAAAGAGACAAACCACAAGAAACCCCACACACAAAAAAAGGACAACTAAACACACACAACTAAACAAGTCCCAGACTCTTCCCAACTCTGCTAGTGACAATTCCAGGCCATCCTTACCCACAGTAGCAGACCTGAACAAGCACAAGTTCCTTTACAGAATAGAAAAATACTAGCTTCCCACACTATTTTCCCCACATGTGGTAGCTGTTAATAATCCTCAAATACTTTCTTACAAACTCTACACCACAACAGAACAAAATTTGCTGAACTCCACTCCAGTAATTTCCAAGTAGACAAAAAAAACCACCTCAGGATTAACTTCCAAACCAAATCCACACAGCAGGTCTGCACTACAGCAGCAGCACATCCACCTGAAGTCTGATGGTGATTAGTAGCTCAGACATCATTACAGGTGGCTGTGAGATGCCAGATGGTGACATTGTGTCAGCCAAGGCTAACAAAGGAATCTGTTGGAAGGGGGAGAACAGAACTTACCCGCTTCTGTCTCCTTTTCAGCCTGACAGCTTTCACCACAGAGGAGTCCCAGTCCTGGGGGAAATGCACAGCACTGGTTAGCTCAGAGTAAACACCCCACAGCCTTTGGCTAGGTCTTTCATTAAGCTTTAGCCAACAGCACAGCAGAGAAATGCAGATCAGCTCTACCAGTTTAATACCACAACAATCTAAAAACAAGAGGCTTCTGGAGAGCACCCCACACCCCGAGGGTTTGATAGTGGAGGGAACCTTTAGAACTTGGAGCTACGTTACCAGTGACTCATCAGTCACGTCAAAGCTGATGTCTGACAGAATTGAGCCAGATTCATCTATTGTAGACAGCCTACAAGTCAAAAATGAGAAGAAACTTGTATCAGTTTGGCTTTCAGTCAGCCAGGGCTCCAGAACAATCTCACTGACTCAGAAAAGCTGCATTTCAAACTGGGATTGGATCAGTGCACTGTGGATCAGAGGGACAGGGCTGGACTGACATGTGGCACTTCTGTTGCTCAGACAAAACACTGGTTTCCTTACCTTTTGTTGCCTGAACCCCCAAGAGAAGCCTGAGGCCTGTTGAGAAAGGCCAGGGCTGATTTCTGCTCCTCACTGAGCTGGATGCTCCCAGAGGAATCACACATGAGCAGCTCCCGGATCAGCTGGATTTGCCGCTCCTGCGAAGGGAGAAAATATCAGGAGCTGCCAGAGGATAAACTGTGTGTAATTACTATGTGAACCAGCCTGGAGTGTAGGAGAAACCACAGACAGGCTCTCAGAACTTGTGTCAATAGGCAACAGTGGCTGCAGAGCACTGGCAGCTCAGCCCTCCACCAGAGCAGGGCAGGAGGCTGCTGCAAGGAGCTGAGCCCATTTGTTGCTGTTGGATTTTAACCCCCCTGAGAAAAAAAGGCAATGATGAGTGGCAGTCCTTGTTTTCCATAGATCAATGCAGTTTAATCACCTTGTCTCCACACTCTAGAGAACCAACTGGTAGTAAAGAAATTGCTCACCAGCTTCTCACAGTCTGTTTCAGCTTTTTGCCTCCGTTTGATCTCCACGTCCACTTGATTCCGGGCGTGTTTCAGCTTCACCTCCAGGGCACCACGTTCAGCCTCAGTTTTCATCAGCAGGTCTTTGTACCTGCCCAGCTCATGCTCTGTGCTCTGCAGCTTCCTCCGATACTCCTCAAAGTTCTTTGCCAACTGAATAAACTCTGGAGGAAGAGAGAGATGTATCTTGAGCTGCCCAGGCAGGCAGAGGAGATGCAGCAGCTCTCCCTTCGCTAGATCCCTAGTGGAGAAGTTGGGCTGTTGACCAACCCACCTACACTTTAGATTTTCATGAGATATTCCAGTTTTTCAGGCCAAGACCTTTGTGTATTAACCAGTAGAGCAAGACACAAGATCCTGTGTGGATGAAGTCAAGCAGAATGTGTCTCTGCCCACAAGTTCAGCCCTTGACTTCGTATTTCTTAATAAGTGGAAAAAACCCCCCTCAAATCTGACAACCTGTAGCAGCCTCATTACCCATAACATCAACAGGTTCAACAGCTAATAAGTGCTTTGCAAAGATGTTTCAGTTCTTACACCAAACACAGCACAACCCACAGACACAAAACTTACTGTATTCATCTCCTTCACTTAAAATTTCAGCCAGGTGCATCAGTTGATCATAGAGGCTCCTCAGGCTCAGCGTGGCCCTCTCCATCCTCCTGCCAAGAAACCAGAGCTAAACACAACAGCCCAGCCCTCTCTCCTCACCTCCTAACAGAAAACATGTTCCCAGCCCAAAGAAAGGAGAATCAGCTCCAGAATTAATTATTTTTTAATGGCTTTTAAGGCAGGCTTTAGAAGCTGCACAAATAAAAATACATTAGGAGTTGTGTTTTACGGCCATATGTGCATCTAAATTCTTCCCTAGGGATTAAGATCCTCAGCTCTCCAGCAGGCAGTTCTGCTCCCCACCTTCCTGCTTCAAACAAGTCTCCATTATACTGCAGGGGCTCAGAACCCAAGGGAAGAGGAAGGATCCCAAACTGTTCTCCTTCTGGAAGGCTGCAGAACACAGCTCATGCCCACACTTCAAATATCTTGGTACTAGAGAGGCCATTAAAAATCTGCAGCTTTTCAGAGCTTCGTAAGATAAAAATAGGAGCAACATTCTGGGGAATTTTAATACAGTTTTAAATTTAGATGCATTTTAAGTTACAGCTCCTACTGCAAATAGCTTTTAAAATGCAGCCATCAGCACATTTTCCCCCAAACAGTAGCAACAATGGCATAAACAGGAGCAATGAAGAGGAAAGTCTCCAGCTCAGCAACACAGAAATGACTTTGCTAATGTAAGAGGTCGCTGGGGCTCACAGGACACTCTTGACTAATAAATTAACCCTAGAAGCAGGTGCAGACATAGCTGGGATTGATGGCAGGAGGGAGTGTAACACAGCAGCTTGACATTTAGGAGGCCACCATGGGAAGCTTTGACTCTCTTCACAGCTCCAGACTCTACAGACACCCCAGTGTCCCAAGACTTTCTGTATTATTTGTGTTACAAGGTGTGGAAAAGCTCCCTGTGCTAAAAGCCCCTCCTCTCTACTCCTTGTTGCTTAATTCTCTGAGAGAGACACTTCGACCTTTTCCTGCCTTCATTCCCTGCAGGAGAGAGGGAGGGAAGGAGGGAAAAGGCCCCTGAAGGAGGCAGGGAGGGAGGGAAAAGGCCCCTGAAGGAGGCAGGGAGGGAGGGAAAAGGCCCCTGAAGGAGGCAGGGAGGGAGGGAAAAGGCCCCTGAAGGAGGCAGGGAGGGAGGGAAAAGGCCCCTGAAGGAGGCAGGGAAGGAGGGAGGGAAGGAGGGAAAAGGCCCCTGAAGGAGGCAGGGAGGGAGGGAGGGAAGGAGGGAAAAGGCCCCTGAAGGAGGCAGGGAGGGAGGGAAAAGGCCCCTGAAGGAGGCAGGGAGGGAGGGAAGGAGGGAAAAGGCCCCTGAAGGAGGCAGGGAGGGAGGGAAAAGGCCCCTGAAGGAGGCAGGGAGGGAGGGAAAAGGCCCCTGAAGGAGGCAGGGAGGGAGGGAAAAGGCCCCTGAAGGAGGCAGGGAGGGAGGGAAGGAGGGAAGAGGCCCCTAAGGAAACCAGAAACAGACCCAGCCCGGGGAAAAGCGGCTCCCCCGGACCGGTCAGGGGGTTTCCGCCGGGCCTGGACCGAGTTCCCACCGCCTG